CCCAGGTGCCGCGGCCCACTGGGAAATTTCCCGGTTTGCCAGTCCAGCCCTGTTACCATTCCTGTTCTTTTAAGATTTTACTGTTATTCAAGTAACTAAATGTAGTTAAAACATTAAACTTTTCAGAGCAGATATCCCAGGGAGATGTTTTTCTATAGTTTTTTTACACTGTTTGCTAAACAGTTGTTCCCTTGACCTGAAATTCAAATTGTTTTTTAACAAATAATAAAGAAATATTATTTTTATTTTTCCAGTGTCTCAAAATCACTCATTTAGTGTAATGGTATTTTCTATCCAGCAATCTGATCTTTTCAAGAGAATATAGTGTTGGTGTAACACAATGTAAGCACCAAAAGTCTTGGTGGTTGTACATACACCCTCACTCCTTTATAAATACAAATACTGCTTGTCACCATAGGTAGAGTGTATTTGCCATTTCTTGTTGTGTTTCTTAATTTAATTATTTATTTTATTCTTCTGCCCTCAGTCTTACATAGAGCACTTAAACATGTGCATCTGTTAACCCCTTAATGTTCTATAGGTTTGGTGCATGCAGCGTCAATTCCCTGCTTTCACCAGAGATCCAGGTATCGATATTGATACCTTAGGCTCCCCTCTGTCAGCTGCAGCCATATTTAGTGGTCCCTGACTGATCAAGCACTGTGCAGCTCTCAAAGTGAATGATGCATTTAGCACTTTAAATCACTGTGGCCAAATGACTGTGTTAAAGGAACACTCCATGGTTTGACAACTTACTTCCAAACATAGAATGTGACGACAGGTAAGAATAATTCGGCCCATCTAGTCTGCCCAATTTTTTAAATAATTTCCTTAGTCCCTGGCCTTATCTTATAGTTAGGATAGCGCATGCTTAAACTCATTCACTGTGTTAACCTCTCAGTAAAGTAATACTTCCTGATATTATTTGACGATACGGTCTCCAGTACTGCGTACAATACTCCAAGTGAGGTCTCACCAGCATTCTGTATAATGGCATGAGCACTTCCCTCTTTCTTCTGCTAATACCTGTCCATATACAACCTAGCATTTCCTGCTGCTCTGTCTTGCCTACCTTTTAAGTCATTTGAGGGCAGGCCAAGTAGGGACCAGTGCTTCCTGCAGGCTCCTAGAGCCCTAAAAATAGTGCAAGCTTGTCTTATGATGTGCTCATGCTATAAATGTTGGGGACACTAGCGAACTATGGCAGCACAGGACACAAAAATCGGGACTGTCCTGACAAAATAGGGACAGTTGGGAGGCAAGTGCTAGTATAGTTAACAATGGGTTACATGGAGATTTTAGAACTCTTCGCTATATTCTACCTAACAAGATGTCTTTCTTTCTTTTATATCCTGTAAATATTATCACATAATCAATATTTCATAAGTGTCACACGATTTCCATGTTTACATCCTGGACAAGCACATAGGTATGTCTTCAGTGTCATGAATTAAAATGGCACTGTCACTACACCCCTTGCAAAATGATTGTTTCATAAAGATAGAATCTTTTTGAAATATTTATTAACTGTGTTGGAATTTCACTGAAATAGTATCTTCCTTGAACTGCAGTCTTCTGGACAGGGATCTCAGATGTCCCACCTGGAATCTGCTGAAGCCACTTCCCCCAACTTGGGGGTCACATCCTCAAGTGCTCTTATCACAACTTGCACTACTACTGCCTTCACTTTCCACATTTTATAAGCTCCTCTTTCAATCCTTGGTATTTGTCCACCTTCCCAGGTTCCTTCTTACTGATGTTATGTTCACTGAGTATTGTCGCATCCACCACAACTGCAGTCTTCTGTTCTTTGTCTACCACCATGATGTCAGGTTGGTTCCCGACTACTTGCTTGTCTGTTTGGTTCTGAAAGTCTCACAGGATCATAGCGCTGTCTTTCTCAAGTGCCCTTTGTGGTATCTCCCATCTGGACATAGGTCCAGTCCATATTCTGAGCAGATATTTTGGTACACAATCCCAGTAAATTGGTTGTCCCTCTCAGTGTATGCTGTCCCTGCCAATGTCTTACATCTGGCTACTATGTTCTGGATTGTCTCAGAGGCCTCTTTGCACAGTCTGCACCTTGCCTGGTGTGGTAGACCCCACTTTTGTTGATCTGGTGCTGAGTGCCTGTTCCTGTGCTGCTAGGATTAGTGCCTCGGTGCTGTCCTTCAGTCCTGCAAATTCCAACCACTAGTAGGATTTCAAAATGTGAACCACATCCATTATCTGCCGGTGGTACACCTCATGGAGATGTTTGACTTGTCATGGAACCACCTCCTTTTCTGAATCTATCTCTTGTTGTCTCATGCATTCCCTTAGCAATTTATCTTTTGGGGACATCTTTGTGATGTACTTGTGGATGCTCTGTATTTCACCCAGGACTGTTGCTTTGACACTCCTCAAACGCCGACCTCCTTTCTTCCAGCTTGTGTACAGTTTCTGTGTGCTGGTTTTTGTATGGAATCCTCCATTCATAGTCTGTATTTTCTGGGTCTCTGCATCACTGTGACCAGCTCCTCTCTTGGTTAGGTTATTATTCCAGCTGGGTACGTAATGACTGGTAGGGCATATGTGTTAGATTGACTCTTGTCTCTGCCATTGAGCTGGGACTTCAGGTCCTGTCGGGCTCTCTGGAGACTTTCCTCAAGATTGCTGTGTGTGTGTTTGCTACCTCCAGGTACTTGTAGCTGTTCTCTACATCTCCTACATGATCTTCTGGCACTCTGACACCTTATATCCTGATCATCTTCCCTCTTTTTGCCATCTTCTGCCCACATTTATGTAGTCCAAAAGACATTCTGATGTCCTTGCTGTTTAATCTACTTAGGAGGATCAGCGAGTCAATGTCCCGCTCACTCTTGGCGTACAGCTTGATGTTGTCCATGTAGAGTAAGTGGCTGATAGCTTCACTCTTGAACCTTTATCGGTATCCATTCTTCCTGATGATCTGGCTAGGGGTGTTGAGGCCTATGCAAAACAGCATTGGGGATAGTGCATCATGTTGGCATATGTCACATTTGATCACTTGTGTTTATTGTCCTGGAATTGGCTTCTAGAGTTGTTTTCCCCTTGCCCATTGGGTTCTTAATAAAGGCTCTTCGTGCCTTGCTGACCTTGTAAAAAGCCAAGCATTCCAGTAGCCATGTTTGTGGCATTGTTATAGGTTTTTTTTTAGTCAATCCAGGCTTGGCACAGATTGGCCTGGCTGGTCTTGGAATACCGTGTGACTGCTTGGACTACTTGCTCCTTTTGTGTTTCCAATCTCCTTCTGAGTATTGCTTATGTATACATTTGTATGCCTAGGGATCGTGCAGGCTGTGATGCCTGACCGGACAGTCCATTTTGTGGGGAGGCAGATGATGGATTGGCATTTAGATTGTGTTCTCTTGTGAGGATCCTTCATGTCTAGTATTGTTTTGCCTTGTGTTAGCCAATCCGAGTTGAGAATTGTTGTTAGTAGCTGGTTCATTTGTGCTGCTATGTGTTCATGCAGCATTGTTATTTTTTTGTTTTTGTTTTTCTTTTATCCAGTAAGTGTGGACTACTTATTGTTGTATTTCACCCGCTGTAATGGTTTTTGATACCTGTTCTGGTTCATGCAGTGGTCTGCTTTTAAGTCTAGTAGCCACTGGGCCTTGGTGTTATGCGATGCTTCATCCTCAGATATTTTTTCACTACTGTTTAGTCTCTGCTCTGGGTTGGTCTTGGGTTGGTATGTTACCCTGCAGCTGTGCAGCACTTTTGAATGTTTTTTTGGCAAACGGGGTATTTATTCTCTTAGACTGAACAGATACACCAGAAATGCAGAGGCTATTTGCCAGTGCGGTCAGCCTTTGCTTAGTTATTTCCAGAGCCTGTGATATGGAAAATATATGAAACACCATTGTATTTCCTCAGTAGCATTGATCTTGACACCTCTGTGAAGCTAATCCAGTTTACTAACTTCCTTACATGTTGCCTTTTATCTTGGATTCCAAGCTTAGTCTCCTTGGTAGACTTTGTGGAACTACTTTGACTCTGTATTTTTCCTACATTTGACTAAAGGTTGAGCTACCTCTTGTCAAGCCCTCAGCCATCACTACTGATCCTCCATTGACTTCAGTGTTGTACTTTCACACATGCGTGCAAGTACAATGCTGACATTGGCTCATGGCAACTGACTCATCAGGAGCTGAAGAAGAGGGCTATGGCTGCTGGTTTAGGCAAGTATAACTCTCCTCCCCTGCACTCTTCTGCCAGTGGAGCGGTCACCCTCAACACGGCACAAATGGTTCTGAGATTGTACAATTACCTTGCTCCTGTGCGCAAAGTCCTTTAATATGGCTACATACCTCCCAATATTGTAGTTTTGTAACTGGTGATACCCAAAATGGGCAGAGGCCAGGGCATAAACACATGCCAGGCTGACTGACAGCCTCCTTACCGGCCACTCTTATGGCAGACTTTGCCAAGAAAGCTGTTAAAGCACACTGCAATGTTGTGGCGCCTTCAGCACATTCTAGCTGAGGACAGTTCCAAAATGTAATCTGCTGAACAGGACCATAAATCAGGACTGTTGAGAGGACTATGGCTATAACAGAACACCTATTTTGTAAACAATCTATTCTCTCTGCCATAATTCGTAGTATTGGTAAAACATACACCGCTAGATATTAAAAGTTAAGAGATTCTGTTTTGTGTGCAGGATATGTGCACTCCTTAAATATATCAAACAACAATATTACAGTATAATTATATCCTTGAATATTCTGTGTTTTTGGAGTAAAAGGCATCTAGACATTGTTTCAATTGTGTATAGAATCTGATAAAACAACCTCTTTAGGCCAAGAATGTCACAGCTTTTTATTGTTCTTAATGCATTTTTTTTTTTTTTTTATTTCATTTTGTAGGCTTCTAGAAGAAAGAAAGCAGAGATGGCATATGATTGCTCCTCTTTTAGATGTGTTCCTTTGAACAAAACGTGGACCATAAATAGTTCTAAAAAGCGTGTTGGCAGCATGGACTCCTCAACATATGTATCCCAGGATAGTGGATTCAATGAAACTTTGAAGGCTTTTAGCCCAGATTCTAATGAACACCACAGTGGATCCCTTGTAAAGATAACTCCAACACAAAGAAATGAAAATTCTGAGAACATTGATCCAACTTTGGTGCTCTCTCCAATCAAGAGTGAGCGAATTTGGGACCCTTTAACCGATACAAAACAATCTTCTGTAATTTATGAAACTCCCAGAGTTACCAAGAAAGACTTTTCACTACGTAGGAGACTGCTTGTTTCCAAAGCCACATCTGGTGGGAAATCAGAATTTTATGCATCAGAATATCCAGCGGATATATTTGAAAGTAAGAAATCTATTCAAATGTGTCCAAATTTTGAAGCCAATCTTTCCAATGATGTTTGTGTTTCACCAAGAGATGCGGCATACACACCAATAGCAACAAGCACTTTAAAAGCAGAAGCTGAATCTGGAACCTCATGCAAAAAGTGGAGATTAGCCTTTGCTCAACATAGAACCTCTACTTTAGATGATTCTAAATTTGATGATGCCCCTTTTCCAGAAGTAGAGAACCTATCTCCAGTTCAATGCCTTACTGACAGTGTGACTGATGACCGCAATATGAGCATTAATGAAGAAAACCTTTCTGAATCACCTGGAACACCAACATCTAACTTAATTTCCTGTACTAAAGAAGAATTTCAAACACCTGTTACTAATCTTGCTGCAAAATTTAACTTTGATTTATGTACTCCCATTGGGACTCCAGAATATGACCTTGAATCCTCACTAACTGGGGATAGTGCTTTTCACTCGCTCAGCTTTGATAAATCACAAGATTCTTTAAATGATCACGAGGGCTCTTTCCAAGAACTAATTCAAAAACAAAGAGAAACCCCAAAAGGTGTTCAGAGTAAAAGCCGTCCAAGAAAACTTGAGCGTTGTAAAAGATTATCAACTCTTCGGGAAAGGGGCTCGCAGTCGGAAGTAGAGGAAGAATGCGTAGAAGCCCCATTATTGAGTTTAGAGTACAAATCAAAAGTTGCAAGAGACTCCGTAGATGAGGAAATTGACACATGCAGCGAGAGTTATCTCTTAAAGGTTGAGGATTTAACAGGGACACCTGCCTTACGTGTAGTTCGTGACATGATAACTCGAAGTAGCCGTAAGAGATCACAACAGACAACAGTGCAAGATATTTTGGAAAATGACAATAGTTCAGAACTCTCAGAAAGCGTACTCACAAGGCTTATTGGCAGGAAAATGGGCTTAGAAAATATTGATATTTTAGCCGAATTGAAATATAGGAATTTGAACCATGTGCTTTCTTGCATACTTCAAGCATTACCTGTGGAAAGTATTTGCAGGTAAGGCAGGGGTAACTTAAGTTTTTGTGTATATATTTTTGCTTTATTATCAAATCATTTTCAGTGATATGTGTATAAGAAATATATTGAATATGTATTCTCCCTTTATATCTGTGTTCCTAAAAGTCAAATGCTTTGAGTCACACGTGCATGTGCACTTCTGGAGAATAGAGGCTGGTTCATAGGGGCAGGTAGGTCAGCTCAACCTCAATTTTTGTTGTGGGAGGGAAAGATTGGGGAAAAATGCCTCATTTTCTGGTTATTAGAATTATTAGACTTGCTTAGTTTGCTCTAACAGGATTTTACCCATTGGTTTTGTATTGCACTGCCATATGATATTCGATAAGCATGCATATTGTTTTGCCTCCTAGGGGTATAGCGGGTATAGTCAGGCCTCTTCTTAAAGTGGTTATTTCCCCAGTATGTATATAGGTTTATGGTGAACACTGCATGATCTCTCACTAAATCAAGGATTGAGAATAAGGGTATGAGCCAAGCCCAAAAAGTCAGTGTATCTGAAGCTCCACCCCCAGAATCTAACACCTCCCCTTCTTTTAAATATCACCAGCCTCTACTGCAGAGCACACAAACTAAAATTTCAACAAAACTTAATTATAGCCTGATATCTGAAATTATTTCTCATGTGAAACTGTAGAAAGCTTTTGGCTGTTTGAAGTGGTCTAGTGGCACTGGACCGGTCCCCTAAACCCTGCAATGTAAAACTTTGTAGTTTTAGAGAAACTGCAATGTTTTCATTGCAGGGTTAAGACTACCTCTAGTGAATGTCTACCAGACAGCCACTAGAGGCTCTTCCTGCTGTTTCACGGAGTTTGACTCTGTGAAACGACTCGACGTCTTGGCTTGAGGACTTCCAGCGTTGTGCCACACTCCATAGAAAAGCATAGATTCAATGCTTTCCTATGGGGAAAGCCATATGTACACGATCCCCCTCACGCTGACTGCGACAAGGAGGAGCCAGCACAGAGGGACCTCGATGGAATTTGGCAAGTATTTTAAAGGTTTGTTTTTTTTTTTCCCACATTGATTGCCACAAGGGGTCATGAGGACAGAGACCCTATAGTGGTAGGAATACAGCATCATACAATTATTGGGGAAAGAATACAAAACAAGTTTGCTGTGGTTTTTATTCTCTTAGTGCTTCTTTTACTTATTTATCAGATGTGATGGAGTCAAAATGCAACTTGATCTTCAATATACTTGCAACTGATAGCTTGTTGCATTGTTACTTGTTACAACACACTTATTTTCTGTTTCAGAAACTAAACTGCATTATATTCACAGTTTAGGCATGTTCTATAATTACATATATTTTAATTTGCTTAATGTCCCTCTGCTTATAGTGTTTACTAACTTTTCTCTTACAGTATTTGGAAAGTAAGCTGTGAATGGCGTGAAATCGTTCACCAGGATAGAAGTTCATATCAGAGGCGAAAAGGGTTTCTGAAAAAGTTAAAGGCTGAAGCTGAGGTAACCGTTGTTTTGGTTTTTTTTTTTTTTCCCATTTTCTTCTTTCGTTTATGATTTTATTTATTTTAATACCGCTTTTCTTTCATATACAGTATTATACACTTTTTTTTGTGCTTACAAATATATTAAAATGTTAACTATTTGATTTAAAAAAAAAAAAAATACATTGGGAAAAGCACAAGAGCAAATTGAAATTAAAATGTGTGGCCTGGGAGTTAACAGAATCGCATTGGTCAGTACTGCAATTTAGTACTACCATTTACAGAATTCAAGTGTATGAGCACATTGCAATGTAGGAGGAATTGAGTTGGTTAGGAGTCACATTCATAAAACCAAAGTATAAGAAATATACGCAATTCCAAAGTCTAGAGTGAAGGCCAGTAAATTACCAAAAAGATAGAGGCTATGATATATTTGGAACCATCCATTGAAATCTCAGCCCAGAGGTTTTTATAGGAACACAATAAAATATTTAAGGGATGAAGTTGTTATGGTTGAGGAAGTTTCTGGATGCCAACTTACCTCAAGGGGTTAAATATTTTAAAGGTTTAATCACAGCCTAGTATTTGGTGCCTATTGGCTCTTGGCTTGTGTTAAAATGGAAGTTCATGCAAAGAGCTTATAGTTGGCAGATTCATGTCGTTGAGGTTAAACTGATAACTATGATAAGCCGGGGGCTTCCTTGCACCATGGCAAGTTAAAGCCTATAAAGTTGTTATGGTGCCCTGTGTTCCTTTTAAAGGGCCACTGTTGGCACTTTTACCATTTCATCCCATTTAATTGGTTATGGTGCCTGGCATTGTCTTTCAAATTATTGTTAAACAATTTTCAAGCAATTCAACATTGAATGGGTTGCTGTTTTCCCATAGCCGCACACCCAATAGACTCTTCCTTGTAACTGTACAGATTCCTACCTGCAACAGCTCTGTGATGGGATGGATGCAATCAGCTGACAAGAATAGAAGGACAGTGCCATGGGACTCCGACACTATAACCACTTCAATGAGATGACGCAGTTATATTGCCTACAGTGTCCCTTCTTATTGTGGTCTCGAAAGGGTTAAAAATTAAAGTAACCTCACCTTTATTTCAACAGTGTTAGTCTGTGTCCCAACTTAAAAGTATAGATCAGGAATATAAAGACTGAAAGGACATATTACTAGGCCTTAGAATGGTCCTGTTTAACGTATTGTGGCTCCAAAAGGATTTAAAATAAAGTAGCCCCACCTTTATTTTCAGTGTAAATTACTGCGGGCTACCAAAAATGTTCCTTCATGAGAAGCACTCAGGGCTGGACTGGCCCACCGGGATACCGGGAAATTTCCCTGGGGGCTGCGCTGCCACATAGGTGCCACCGAGTGGCCGGTCCGGTGGCACACTCAGTCAATATAGGTGTCCCCAATTTTGAGTGCAGAGTGGGAAACGTACAAGCACCTTGCGCAGCCAGGAATTGTCCAATTGTTGTACCAATTTTACATAAGAAAATATGGTGATTCCTAGCTTTAGGAAACAAGCAAGAACTAATGTAAACTACAATGATTTGTTTTCATTCACACATAGGAAGGAAGATTGGTATCATCTGAAGATTCTGTCACCAGATTAAACCTTTTAACACGATCCGCTTTAAAATCTGTTCAAACTCAGGCAAGGTCTGCATTTCAGACTCCAAACAACTCTTTGTCTCCAAAAGATACTAGTTTTACTCCTCAGTCATCTAGAAAGCATCAAGAATATATAAAGGTTTGTCATTCTAACACATTTTTAAAAAAATGTTTTTTTTTGTTTTGTTTTTGTCTGAACATAAAACATGTTTGTGGATTTTTTTATTTTTATATATGCTTAGTGGCTGCAGGTGGGGGAAGATTAAAAAGGAGAAAAAAAAAAGCTAGGTGAAATCATTATTAAAGGGACACTATAGTCACCCAGACCACTTCAGCTCAGTGAAGTGGTCTGGGTGCCAGGTCCCTCAGGTTTTAACCCTTCAGATGCAAACATAGCAGTTTCAGAGAATCTGCTATGTTTACATTTGGGGGTTAAGCCAGCCTCTAGTGGCTGTCTTCCGGACAGTGAGAAGTGCTTTCCTATGGACACTTTGAATGCGCATGCGGCACTTGCCGCGCATTCGGCTCCTGTGACGTCAGCCAGGGGAGTTGACGTTGGAGTGGGAGGAGAGGTCACCAGCGCCGAGGGAGCCCGGCGCTGGATTAAGGTAAGTGGCTGAAGGCGTTTTAACCCCTTCAGCGCCACGGGAGGGGGACCCTGAGGGTGGGGGCACCCTCAGGGCACTAAAGTGTCAGGAAAACCGCTTTGTTTTCCTGACACTATAGTGATCCTTTAAGGTTGAAGGTGTTCAGTGGGATAACCACAATCATTTCATAATATATGGAGATCATTTGCTCATTAGAAGAGAGATAATATATCTTGGTTCTAATATGATTGAGTGTGGGTACAGCATGCTTCCATTTTTGGTGGATATGCAAAAGGTCTGTTTATTTGTATGTTTAGATAGTCTGTTAGTGGTGCTGAATGTTCAAGATCCATTCACAAACATCCTGAGAATTTATTGGTGCCCAATCAACCACTTGTGAGAGTAAAAACTCTGCCAAGAGGATGAAAATGACAGATCCACTACATATGCAAAACAGATCCATATTCCCCTCATCTTCCGAGAGCATCGAGCAGACGATGAGTAGATGTGGTCTTTTAAGGATAAGGAATTTGTATCAATTGACCAGAATGTAGTGCTAGCGTTTTTAGAACCCTGCTCCATTATTCAGCTTCCAGTCTTCCCTAGATCAGTTTTCCAACTGAGCATACATTTAGAAGTCAGGAAATGGTAATCTATATGGGGAGACTATAGTTCATAACAGGTTACACGACTCTGGCTGTTTGTTGCATTAGCCTGATATTTTCATGTAGCTATATGGAATAAGACTGAGTGGATTTGGCATGAAAGGAGCGGATATGTGGCAGAGATACAGAAAACCAGGCTCTTTGCCGTTTGTTTTTCTGTGTCTATATATTGTGGTGGGATTTTTGAAGTACCCACAGAGTGTAATCAGCAGCTATACCAAATAATTAAATTATCCATCACAAAGCACCATCTATTTCCACACCTGTTGTGTTCCATGTGTGGCAGAGATGACCTATTCTACTTCCATTTGGACCCATCTTGAGTATGTGTGACTGAATTGGGTGGGGTTTCTTAACTTTCTCTGAACAAGTATATCAACAGTGGTGCTGTCACCATCTATTTTCTGCTATATTTAAATAAATGTATTTTAAATTTTTTTTTTTAGATTGCTAAGACATTGTTTACAGATGAAGCATTAAAGCCATGTCCAAGATGCCAATTTCCAGCAAAATATCAGCCGCTAAAAAAGCAAGGTCGATGCAGCCGAAAAGACTGTGGGTTTAACTTTTGCATTCTTTGCCTGTGTGCATTTCATGGGTCGAAGGAGTGTGCAAGTGGATCTGCAAAAAGAACACACAAAAAGGAACCTCCACCTGGAAGTGCCCAAAGTAAGCGGAATTTGAGACGGCTTTAAATTCATTTTTTTTTTTCCAATGAAGATCCTCTTTATTGAATATTGTTGTGTGGAGAATAGGAGGCTTCTCCCGAACCAAGTCAGTTTTGTTTTTTGCACATTCTTATGGCTTATGTGAATTTAGCAGCAAATGAACACTGCTATATACTCTGCTGCAAATTAGGGCTATGTAAATAGGAAAGATATTGTGTCATATTTATTACAGAACTTCTATTGCGTGACCTGAAACACGGTTTTATTTGGTTACTGCTCAAACAGTATTTTTCCCTAATTACCTAAATAAATATGGCACAATGTAAGCATTCCACTGTTAGCACTTGTTGCCACTTTTTTGCACCAAGCTGTATAAGCTTTGGTAACTGCAGAACATGTTTAAATGATTCACGTGTATTTTTTATGTGTACATATCTTCACTTGTTTAAAACTGCAAATATTTCCTAACCTGTTTTAATACTTTGTTTTTATATCATTTTTATCTTCTTGTCTTGCCATGAACTCTTTTTCAAATGAAATATTTTAGTATAATAAACTGTATTTTTTTAGTTTGTGTTTGTGTTTTATTTCAAACAGTCCAAAAAAATGGTACATCTCATTGTTATACGTGCATAACTCTGCCAAGATGTAAATGAACCATTATCCAGAGTCTAGTTTTCTAAATAACCTGGGACAGGAATATATGAAAATGTGCAACTCCTGCCATAAACTGATTACATTTAGGTTGCCCTCAAAGCAGTGCATTTTTAAAATGCCAGGTTGCGTTTGAGTGATTTTGTGAAGTGGTGGTGTGAATATAAAAGTGCTGCATTATTGAAACACCATTCATAATGTTTTAAATTTCAAATGACAAGCTTTATTGGTTCTGGTGCCGATAGTGTAACTTGTAAATACAAATATTAGTACTAGGGTCCAGCAATATTTTGAGTTATTAAGACCATAAACCCCGCCAGTGTGACCTTTATGATCCTCCAAGCAAAACCGCAACTCCAAGCTCCAGCAAACAGATTTTTTTTTTTTTTTTTCAAAATATACAAAAGTTACGAAAATACAGTACACACCAGAACCCTTCCTCTCCACTGGATGCATTTTGTGCAACCCCAGGCAGGGGTTTTTAAAGCAAATACAGAGTTGAGTTACAGGGTGCTTCCTAGTTCTTAAATAAAAGATCCATTTAACCTCATGGGTAGGGAAAGCTTCTATATTCCACAAACCTGCAAACGCTTCAAATCTGAATTATTGTAGGTGTGAAGATGTCTAGCAATTGGTTTCTTTTATCTTCTGCCTTTACTTCATGGACATGTTCTCTATTCATTGCCTTGTAAGGTCTTGAGGTTTGGTTAACAGTTGATGAACTCTCTAATATAATGTCCTACTTGTTGTTTTAGAAGTAAATACTTTAGTAACATGTACATATCAACAATCTAAACACTGTCTACCTCCACATTTATGCATGTCATAAGAAGATATCTAATTTTGCTTTTTCCCATGACCAGAAGAAAAAAGACTGTTAGAAAATACTCCCCAATGTATTCAACTTTCTTGCAATACATCTACACTTTCCATTATTGATTTCCACCAAAGCTTAGAGACTAGAATTGTTAGCCAAAACTCTTAAATGTTTTAAGGCAATTCTTTTAACTTGTTTAAACTGAGAACTAAAGTAACAAATACTGGTAAAGAATGTTCAGAACTAGTATCAATAATGTCATTATTTAGAGAATTTTTAGAAATCAAATTACTTCTGTTAGACCCCAGGCTCTTAAAAACACTTTATCCACATCACTTTCAGAAAACCCTCACTCCCGTAACCTCTTTCAAAACCTGATTCATCAAGGAACATCTCAAAGTCAGAACAGTTCGAACACAACCTCAGAAACTATCCAACCAGAATAGACTTAATGTGATGCCTGGGATGACTTGAGATAGTGCTGAAAAGGGTATTTCCAGTGCTAGTGGGTTTTTTGTTTGTTTTTTTCCCCCATATATACAGGTGATACTCGAAAAATTAGAATATCATACAAAAGTTTATTTCAGTAATGCAACGTAAAAGGGGAAACTAATATATGAGATAGATGTATTACATGCAAAGCAAGACAGTTCAAGCCGTGATTTGTCATAACTGCGATGGTTATGGCTTACAGCTCATGAAAACCCCAAATCAACAATCTCAGTAAATTTAGAATATTGTGAAAAGGTGCAATATTATAGGCTCACAGTGTCCCACTCTAATAAGTAAGCCATAACACCTGCAAAGGGTTTCTGAGCCTTTAAATGGTCTCTGTCTGGTTCAGTGGGAATCACAATCATGGCGAACACTGCTGACCTGACAGTTGTGCAGAAAACCATCATTGACACCCTCCATAAGGAGGGAAAGCCTCAAAAGGTAATTGTGAAGGAAGTTGGATGTTCCCAAAGTGCTGTATCAAAGCACATTAATAGAAAGTTATGTGGAAGGGAAAAGTGTGGAAGAAAAAGGTGCACAAGCAGCATGGATGACTGCAGCCTGGAGAGGATTGTCAGGAAAAGGCCATTCAGAAGTGTTGGAGACTTTCACAAGGAGTGGACTGAGGCTGGAGTCAGTGCATCAAGAGCCACCACACACAGGCGGATCCTGGACATGGGCTTCAGATGTGGTATTCCTCTCATCAAGCCGCTTCTGAAGAACAAACAACGTCAGAAGCGTCTTACATGGGCTAAAGAAAAACAGACCTGGTCTGTTGCTCAGTGGTCAAAGTCCTCTTTTCTGATAAGAGCAACTTTTGCATCTCATTTGGAAACCAAGGACCCAGAGTCTGGAGGAAGAATGGAGAAGCACACACATAAGATGCTTGAAGTCCAGTGTGAAGTTTATAGTCTGTGTTGATTTGGGGAGCCATGTCATCTGCTTGTGTTGGTCCACTGTGCTTCATTAAGTCCAGGGTCAATGCAGCGGTCTACCAGGAGATTTTGGAGCACTTCATGCTTACTTCTGCAGGCGAGCTTTATGGGGATGCTGACTTCATTTGCAGCAGGACTTGGCATATGCCCACACTGCCAAAAGCACCAAAGCTGTGCTTGATTGGGCCAGCAAACTCGCCTGACCTGAACCCCATAGAGAATCTATGGGGCATTGTCCAGAGAAAGATGAGATATGAGACCAAACAATGCAGAAAAGCTGAAGGCCACTATTGAGGCATCTGGTCTTCCATAACACCTCAGCAGTGCCACAGGCTGATAGCTTCCATGCAAAAGCCGCATTGAGGCAGTAATTGCTGCAAAAGGGGCCCAAACCAAGTACTGAGTCCATATGCATGCTTATACTTTTCAGAGGTCTGATATTGTTCTATGTACACTCCTTGTTTTATTGATTGCATGTAATATTCTAAATTACTGAGATTGTGGATTTGGGGTTTTCATGAGCTGTAAGCCATAATCATCGCACTTATGACAAATCACGGCTTGAACTATCTTGCTTTGCATGTAATGTATTCTTATATATTAGTTTTCCCTTTTACGTTGCATTACTGAAATAAATGAACTTTTGCACAATATTCTAATTTTTCGTGTATCACTTGTAGATAAATCATAGAGATCTGACCAATTTGGTCAAACATAGCATTGCAGCAGATCCATCTATCTATCTATCTATCTATCTATCCCCTCGTGGTCGGGGACAAAATCTTTGATATGAAAAGTCATTTGTGGTGTGCCGAAACAGACATATGAGCCCACCAAGGTAGCAATATGAGGAAGAGGGGAGCGGTGGGTAGGGGAAAATGAATGGCAACTGCCCATTTAAAAGGGGGTTTACTGTATTTATAACCAAAACTACAGGCCTTAACATTTGTGGTCAGGGACAAAAGTCATAATGTGGAGTAAAAGTCGGTTGTGATGTACCGAAACGGGGGGTAGGAATGTAAATAAAGAGGGCAAAAGGGTAAAGTTCCATATTTTTATATATATATATATATATATATATATATATACAGTTGCAAGAAAAAGTATGTGAACCCTTTGGAATGATATGGATTTCTGCACAAATTGGTCATAAAATGTGATCTGATCATCATCTAAGTCACAACAATAGACAATCACAGTCTGCTTAAACTAATAACACACAAAGAATGAAATGTTGCCATGTTTTTATTGAACACACCATGTAAACATTCACAGTGCAGGTGGAAAAAGTATGTGAACTCTTGGATTTAATAACTGGTTGAACCTCCTTTGGCAGCAATAACTTCAACCAAACGTTTCCTGTAGTTGCAGATCAGACGTGCACAACGGTCAGGAGTAATTCTTGACCATTCCTCTTTACAGAACTGTTTCAGTTCAGCAATATTCTTGGGATGTCTGGTGTGAATCGCTTTCTTGAGGTCATGCCACAGCATCTCAATCGGGTTGAGGTCAGGACTCTGACTGGGCCACTTCAGAAGGCGTATTTGCTTCTGTTCAAGCCATTCTGTTGTTGATTTACTTCTAAGCTTTGGGTCATTGTCCTGTTGCAACACCCATCTTCTGTTGAGCTTCAGCTGGTAGACAGATGACCTTAAGTTCTCCTGCAAAATGTCTTGATAAACTTGGGAATTCATTTTTCCTTCGATGATAGCAATCTGTCCAGGCCCTGACGCAGCAAAGCAGCCCCAAACCATGATGCCCCCACCACCATACTTCACAGTTAGGATGAGGTTTTGATGTTGGTGTGCTGTGCCTTTTTTTCGCCACACATAGTGTTGTGTGTTTCTTCCAAACAACTCAACTTTGGTTTCATCTGTCCACAGAATATTTTGCCAGTACTGCTGTGGAACATCCAGGTGCTCTTGTGCAAACTGTAAACGTGCAGCAATGTTTTGTCTGGACAGCAGTGGCTTCCTCTGTGGTATCCTCCCATGAAATCCATTCTTGTTTAGTGTTTTACGTATTGTAGATTCGCTAACAGGGATGTTAGCATTTGCCAGTGACTTTTGTAAGTCTTTAGCTGACACTCTAGGATTCTTCTTCACCTCATTGAGCAGTCTGCGCTGTGCTCTTGCAGTCATCTTTACAGGACGGCCACTCCTAGGGAGAGTAGCAGCAGTGCTGAACTTTCTCCATTTATAGACAATTTGTCTTACTGTGGACTGATGAACAGCAAGGCTTTTGGAGATACTTTTATAACCCTTTCCAGCTTTATGCAAGTCAACAATTCTTAATCGTAGGTCTTCTGAGAGCTCTTTTGTGCGAGGCATCATTCACATCAGGCAATGCTTCTTGTGAAAAGCAAACCCAGAACTGGTGTGTGTTTTTTATAGGGCAGGGCAGCTGTAACCAACACCTCCAATCTCATCTCATTGATTGGACTCCAGTTGGCTGACATCTCACTCCAATTAGCTCTTGGAGATGTCATTAGTCTAGGGGTTCACATACTTTTTCCACCTGCACTGTAAATGTTTACATGGTGTGTTCAATAAAAACATGGCAATATTTCATTCTTTGTGTGTTATTAGTTTAAGCAGACTGTGATTGTCTATTGTTGTGACTTAGATGATGATCAGATCATATTTTATGACCAATTTGTGCAGAAATCCATATCATTCCAAAGTGTTCACATACTTTTTCTTGCAACTGTTACATAGTTACATAGCTGAAAAGAGACTTGCGTCCAAGTTCAGCCTTCCTCACAAATGTTGTTGCTGTTGATCCAAAAGAAGGCAAAAAACCTGGTCTGAAGCGCTTCCAATTTTGCCACAAAGTAGGAAAAAATTCCTTCTTGACCCCAAAATAGCAGTCAGATGTCTCTTTGGATCAAGCAGCTATTACCCCACTAATTAGAAATTATATCCCTGTATGTTATGTTTTTGTAAGTATTTATCCAATTTCAGTTTAAACATCTGTATGGACTCTGACAAAACCACCTCTTCAGGCAGAGAATTCCATATCCTTATTGTTCTTACTGTAAAAAAACCTTTTCTTTGCATTAGATGAAATCTCCTTTCTTCCAGCCTAAATGTGTGACCTCGTGTCCTATGTATAGCCCTGTTTATGAATAGATTTCCAGATAAAGGTTTGTACTGGCCCCGAATATATTTGTATAAAGTTTTTTTTAGTAAATATCTTTATTGACAGGTGTTTAAGAGTGCAGTTATACAATACGTTATCAAGTTGCAATAAAACAACAGTGATATAACCAACAACCTTTATCTTCAAACGTTATTCCAAGCATCCCAGAAAATTTATTTTTCAATTTCTTTCCCTACCTTCCCTCCCTACCTTAGCTTAACCTTCGATCCCTATCCGGAAGTATATATCGTTGGTTGTGGAGATTGTGAGATTATAACATCGAGACTCGCAGGTCTCCACAGTTGTAGTGCGTAATCAGAACAACAATAAGCCAAGTGTGTAAGCTGATGGGGTAACCAAACGGTTGCCAGTAAAGTGGCTCGTGGGCCCAAATGTAATTTGGGTTCGCAGGTCTCTAGTGGATTTGCCATGTGTACCTGAACAAATATACATGGTGGAGGTTAGTGGGCAATGTGTCACTACCAGTATTACATGGAGCAAGTAGCAGCCCGCTTATCTGAACATATCTTGGGACAATTTGGTAAATTACATGTTTGGGGCTACACCAAAGGTGAAACTTTATGGCCCGCAGGTCAGAGCAGGCAGGGAACATTTGTAAAACATAAGTAAGAGAGAACTCGGGGAACTCAAGAAAAAACACACACATAACTCACACACCCAGTGGCCGGTGTGTCTACGGGACCAGTGGGGATACGGGTCCACTGCAACATTTCGGGACGGGGGTTTCTGGAGCTCCTTCCCCCCATTAGGAGCACATGTGCTCACTTCGTTACAATATGGGTGATAATGGGGTATCATCCCAGTGAGACTCCGAGAACCAAACCCTATTGGAAGCATGTATCGACATATAGCTTAAGTGAAGCGTTCGGAGTCTAGAATTTTCCCATGACCATTACCTATGGCAGAGCTCGCGCGTTGTTCAGGCATCCCTATATCCCAGTCGTGGTGTCCGAGTCCTTGTCGCCAGCTAACGTGTGGGAAGCGTCGAGGTTCCGTGTAGTATGGGTATTGCACCCGCATGCAGGGGGGGATGAGATGTATGTCAATCGGGTTATCAAAGGTCCGTCATATTTAAGAAATACCCGTCTAAGCGTCGGGCAAACAGGCCACGAAGGGTCTCGAAGTTCCGCGTCTTGGGTTAGAGGTCATCGTGTTTTATCAGTGAACTTACGTGACTGTACATTTAGTTCGTCCCTATCACTCATTAGTGCCACTACGGTATCTGCTTATCTACAGTCAACTCATTCGGCCCCAGCCCCGGGACCCCAGATGTGTAGGCAGATGGGAAAAGAGGGGGTTAGAAAAGGGGGATAGAGGATAGTCAAGGTACAAGGGGAGTTGTCCCCCCGCCATGGCCCACACTGTCCTGCGTCCCAGCCGAGGGTCCCGTAGTGCCTCCACCTCCACGGTAATGGGAAATATATAAGTACCATGGCATCCACATCTCGGCGTGCCTGGTTCCTCGACCCGTCAAAGTAGCATGTGCTTCTTCAGCTCCTTGAATTTCCTCAACCCTGCGGATCCATTCTTTTTTGGTCGGGGTAGTGCTCTGTTTCCAGAGAGCTGGAATGTTAGCCTTAGCGGCATTAAGCAGGTGTCGAAGTATCGATCTCTTATATGACGATATGGATTGAGTTGAGATATGTAATAATGCCAATTCTGCGGACCACTCCGTCTGTACTCCCAAAATGAGTTCAACTGTTTCCCTAATCATTGCCCAGTATGGAGCAATAGCTCTGAACTCCCACCAGATATAGAGCACCGTGCCGCGTGTTTCCTGGCATCTCCAGCATATTGGGGGGATCGAGGGGAATATCCGGTGCAGTAAAGTGGGTGTCCTATACCAGAGAGAGAGCAATTTATAGTTCATTTCCTGGTAGAAAGAACTCATAGAGCTCTTATGCTGCCAAAGCAACGCCGTGTCCCATTGCTGTGTCGTGAGTGCTTTCCCCAGTTGATCTTCCCATTGTCGCTTGAACGTCGTAGCCACCGACTTGCCCCCGATTAGTAGATGTTGGTACAGTGCAGAGAGAGCATGTTCGATCGTGGTGCCTCGGTCGCAAAGGTCTTCGAACCACGTTAGGTCCCTATGCAAGTGAGTCTTGTGTGGTAGCGATTCATAGAAATGTTTCAGTTGGAGATACCGAAACTGGAGGAGAGGGGTCAGTGGTCGATCACCCAACATCGATGAGAGATCCCGCAGTCCCCCGGCTGCGAGGGCCTTATGTATGGGGACGTATGATCCATTACTCTGGATGGGTAGGGATTCCGGGAGGGAGACCCCCCCACGGCCGCATTGTGGGTGATCGGTAGCATCGGGCTGGGTATAGGGGATACGTGATCTTGTGTTCTAAAATTCCTCCAGCCTTGTAGGGTCTGTAGGATCAGTCCCTCGTCAGCAGAGTGAGTTAGCAATCCTCCAGGGCTTCCCCAAATCTTCGTCTCCAGCGTCGGGCCGACGAGACCCCTGTCAAGTTCCACCCATTGTTTAGGTGTCTGCAATGAGTGCCAGTCCAGTATACGTTGCAAGATTGCTGCCTGATGATACTTCTTAAAGTCTGGCAACGCTAGTCCTCCGGAAATTCTAGGTCGGCAGATGATGTCATGTCGGATCCTAGACCGTCCGCCCCGCCAGACATATTTAATCACCGCCGACTTCAGGGTGGAGAAGAAGGCCGATGGGAGTGCAAGAGGTATAGTCTGCATGAGATACAGAACCCTCGGGAGAATATTCATTTTTATCACCGCAACTCTCCCGTGCCAAGTAACATGTGGATAGGACCACCTGGACAGGTCTGCGAGTATATTCTTTAGTAAGGGTGTAAAATTATGCTGATAGATATCTCCCGGGGCCACCGTCATCCAGACGCCCAGGTATTTCATCTTGTCGTGGCACCAGTGGAACGCAAATTCCGGTTCCAAAGACCGAAATTTCCCTGTAGGGAGTGTCAGATTCAGGACCTCGCACTTCGAGATGTTAAGTTTAAAACCGGATATCTGTCCGAATCTGTCAAACTCCGAAAGGAGACACGGTAGAGTGATCCTGGGGTTGCGAACAAAGAAAAGGAGGTCATCCGCATACGTTGCTACCTGGTGTTGGACACCCTTCCAGTCATATCCCTGTATGTCCGGGTTTTGACGGATCGCCTGAAGCAGTGGTTCCAGGGTCAGCGCGAACAGCAGTGGCGAGAGTGGGCAGCCCTGTCGGGTTCCGTTGCTGATCGCGAAGTCCGCTGTCGTGGCTCCATTAACCATCACAGATGCGCGCGGTCTGCTATATATAGCAGAGATCCACGTGAGGAGTCGCTGACCGCATCCCTGCCGTCTCAGGGTCTCCATCATGTATATCCAGTTGACCCGGTCAAATGCCTTTTCCGCATCCGTTGATAGCAAAAGTAACCAGGACCCTGTCTTCCTTGCGTGGTGTTGGATAGAGAAAAGCCTGAGAGTGCTGTCCCTAGCCTCCCGACCCGGGATGAATCCCGTCTGGTCCGCGTGTATTAAGTCGGGAAGTAGATGTTTAAGCCTGGTTGCCAGGACTTTCGTGAACAGTTTAGCGTCAACGTTCAACAGCGAGATCGGACGATAGCTGCTGCATTGCAACGGGTCCTTCCCCGGTTTAAGTATGATTGTGATGGTGGCCGCCAGAGATTCCCTTCCCAGAGCCCCACCCTCGCCTACTGCGTGAAGTGCTTTAGTGAACCAAGGAAGTAGCATTCCCGAGAAGCTTTTATAATATCCCGTAGAATAGCCATCTGGGCCAGGGGCCTTGCCAGATTTGGATGTCTTCAGGGCTGCGGCTAATTCTTCCACAGTGATCGGATTGTCCAAGAGCGTCGCCGAATCCTGAGCAATCGTGTTCGTGACTGTGTTAGCCAGAAAGTCCTGTATCTTAGCGCGTTCTCTTGCAGCGTCGACGATCCCGTTAGACGTGTACAGATTATATAAGTGTTCATAGAAAGACCTGAACTCTCCTGCAATTTTCTGTGGGAATGGGGAGACCTCCCCCGACGTCAGGCGGATCTTACGTATCTGCCTATGGGGCAAGGGGCCTTTCAATAATCTCGCCAGGTATTTACCCCCTTTGTTGGCGTGCACATAGTAAAAGCCTTTCGAGCGTTGGACTGATCGGAGGTGTCTTTTCAGAATGAGATCCTTAAGTCGTCTCCTGTGTTCCATTAATTCGCCGTAAACCGCGTTTAATTGGGAGCGTTTGTGTTGGCGTTCCAGGGTCGCTATAGAACGATATAAGTCGACCATTTCAAGCAGAGCCACTTTCCGCTTCTGGGAGGCAATCCGTATGAGTACGCCCCGGATCACACTTTTATGGGCTTCCCATATGGATATTGGAGAGGTCTCTGGGGTATCATTTTCTCAGAAATATTGTTCCAACGCTTGTTGAACCTGTTCCTTGGTGCCCAGGTCAAGTAGAAGGGCCTCGTTAAGTCTCCAAGTCCACGTCCTAGGTCTGTAGAGGGGTGATTCCAGCTCAATCTCGACCGATCCATGGTCCGACCAGGTGGCCGTTTCAATCTCCGCCCCGCGTAGGTGGGAGAGACCCTCCTGTGCAATAAGGATATAGTCTATGCGAGAGTAACGATTATGGAGGGCGGAGTAGTAGGTAAAATCTTTCACCGTGGGGTTTAGTGTCCTCCAACAGTCCACCAATCTCAAGGCGTCCATTGACTGTCGAATGGATCTGATGCTATGTTGTGGAAGGCAGCTATGACCCGTGGAGGAATCCAGCGTTGGGTCCAGCGGGGCGTTGAAGTCACCTGCTACTAATAGTATCCCATCGGTGAAGTCCTCCAATTGATGCATAGCGTTTCGTATGAATGGAGCCTGCCTCTGATTGGGCACATAGATGGTTGCAATGGTATATATTTTATCCGCTATGATGCCCTTAAGAAAAAGATATCGTCCCTGCGAGTCTTGTATGCGTTCCAATTCTTTAAATTCCAATTCCGCCGCTAATAAGATAGCTACCCCGGATTTATGGGCCGTTGGGTTGTTACAAAAGTAGTTAGCAGGGTAATGCCTATTCCATAGTCTAGGAGCCGAACCTTCCTTGAAGTGCGTCTCTTGAAGCATAGCAATAGTCACACGTTTTTTCTTCAATTCCCGCAACAGGTGTGTCCTCCTTTCAGGGATATTGAGTCCCCTGCAATTCTGTGTGAGAACCTTCAAAGAAGCAGTATGATAGGCCATGTTTACCGTATGGGTTGGGTACGTTTCCGTTCCTACGCTGGGTCCGGGGGTTTCGCAGGTAGTCCGCTACCTCAGGGGAGATCTCGTAACCGGGGCACAGGCAGGCCCAAACACGGGAGGGGCAAAGGGAAGTAAAGAGGGGGTGGAAGCGGGGTGGGGGTAGAGTGGGGTTATAGGAGGTGGCACGAGTGGCGACTTTGGGGCCCGACACCTGGGGCCGACTGCGCTGCGTAAAATGTGAGAAGAGATGTGCCCCCTCTAGGCGGTCACCCTCCAAATTCCGGTAGGATCCCGGATCTAGGTCTAGCTCCCCTTCTGCAAGGGAGGGGGAAAACTCGGTCAGCAACCAGTATCAACGGGGGCTCGCTCCGGTACCAGCCCAGGAGTCGAGGGTCTCCGCCGTCTGGTCACAAACCTCTTAGCACGAGTGTATGTGTTGGGGAATGCGGCTCGAGCACTGCCCAGGTAAGGTATCCAGGAATATACAGGTGGTACTCCACTCCACCGTATCCCCCATAAACAAGTTCGAATGGACAGCAATAACCTGCGTACATAATACAGTGACAACAAAGGCAAACAGGTATTAACAACAAACAATAGTATAACATCCATGGCACCGAAGGCAGTTATACATAAACAATACAAGTCAATATAAATCAATAGCAATATAACCCTTCATCCCCCAGGGACTTCCCCTAATCTGAAGGCAAATGCCCACCCAACGTCCACCCGTTCTGGCCGATTTAGTGCAACCCCTTCCCAGAGTGTCGCTGAATGTTAGCTCCCCTACAACCAAAAGCGGGAAGATGTCCTATGTTGGGGAACCTTGATCTGTCCTACGGTCACCCCTGAGTTCCTCAAACATTGCCCATGTACACAGTATACATCATGTGCATATCACACTCCTGTTTTGCTTCAGTCATTTCCCAAGTGGGGGTGGGGGGGTTCGTATATAAGTGAGGCTCTAGTTGGTCGCCTGCATGTGGGCTGAGTACGGCTACGGGCATGCGTGTTCTAGGTAGATGAGGCGATGTCATGAGGTATTTGTGGCATGTGTGGGCCTAGACCATGAGTTAGCTGCTTGCATACGTGGAAGGTGGTGGGAAGGTCCAGCGTATGTCGGGTAGGACCATAATAGCCCGCCCAGTCAGTCTAAGTAATAAAAGACGTGAGAACATCGGGGCCCAGTCAGGATGCAATCAACGTGCTGCCACCTAAAGCTTCCTAAGTACAGTGGTGTGAGGGGGTGGACGTAGTGGGGGCCGAGGGTCAGTCATCCATAGGGAACAATATATAAAGTACTAATGCTCAATTCCGTTTAGTGCGCCCCATGAGGTACCGTGCGCTATACTTATGGTGCTTTTCGGGGTTCGGTGGAGCGGAGCTCACTCCTTAGGCGGCCATCCCGTTCAGAGCCGAAACCACGCCCCCCTATTTGTATAAAGTTATCATATCCCCTCTCAGGCGCCGTTTTTCCAAACTAAACAGATTACATTTTTTTAACCTTTCTTCATAACTAAAATGCTCCATTCCTTTTATCATTTATTATCTATTTTGTAGCTCGTCTCTGGACCCTCTCCAGTGCCATGATATCCTTCTTTAGAACAGGCGCCCAAAATTGCACAGCATATTCAAGGTGTGGTCTTACCAGCGATTTATAAAGAGGCAAAATTATATTTTCATCCCGAGAATTTATGCCCCTATTTATACATGACAAAATCTTACTGGCCTTAGCAACTGCAGATTGACATTGCATATTGCTGCCTAATTTGTTGTCTATAACAATTCCCAAATCCTTCTCGTATGTGGTTATCCCTAATTCACTACCATTTAGTGTGTAAGTTGCTTGTGCATTCTTAACCCCGAAGTGCATAACTTTGCATTTTTCTATGTTAAATTTCATCTGCCATTTTAGTGCCCAGTCCCCCAATCTATCCAAATCTCTCTGCAGCAAAGCAATATCCTGCTCACATTTGATTAATTTACAAAGTTTTGTGTCATCTGCAAACACTGATACATGGCTTTCAATGCCTATTTCAAGATCATTTATAAATATGTTAAATAGAAGCGGTCCCAAAACAGAACCCAGAGGGACACCACTTACCACTTTTGTCCAGCCTGACAATTTACCATTAATTACAACTCGTTGTACTCTATCCTTAAGCCAATGTTCTACCCAAGAACAAGAATATTCATCTAGACCAATTTCTTTTAGTTTGAAGGCTAACCTATTGTGAGGAACCGTATCAAATGCCTTGGCAAAATCCAAGTAGATCACATCCACTGCAACACCCTGATCTATACTTCTACTTACTTCTTCGTAGAATGCAATTAGGTTACTTTGACATGACCTATGTTTCATAAAACCATGCTGATTATTGCTAATAACAAAGTTCTTCCCAATGAATTCCTGAATATTATCCCTTAATAGCCCTTCAAATATTTTCCCAGTTACAGAAGTTAAGCTCACAAGTCTATAATTTCCAGGCAAGGATTTTGAACCCTTTTTAAATATAGGAATAACATCTGCTTTCCTCCAATCCTCCGGTACAATACCTGAAACAAAAGAATCTTGAAAAATGAAATACAGAGGTTCACTTATTTCCCCACTTAGCTCCTTAAGTACTCGTGGGTGAATACCGTCAGGCCTCGGAGCTTTATTTACATTAATTTTCTTTAATAGCTGTAGCACCTTGTCTCGAGTTATCCAATCACAAGTTATTTGCAAGTTTTTTGCAGCAATCATTTGCATATCTCTTGCCATAGGATCCTCATTAATATATACTGAAGAAAAATAGTTATTTAAAATTTCTGCTTTTTCCTGGTCTTCATTAGCTAATAAACCCAACTCTGTTTCAAGTGTATCTACACTTTCATTTTTTTTTTTTTTGTGAATATATTTTTATTTATATAGATTGTTCAAGTGTTGGAAAAACATTGAGACTCTCAGGTCTCCAAGGTGAGTTATCATAAGAAGAAAGAAAACACTGATATCAGGTTGGGCTCGCAGGCCCACAATGTTGATGGACTTGCAAGTCCCTACTATCGAGTTTCATGCATCTCATTTAATACATGTCTGTGCCACAATGGGAATAAACCTCGTTTATAGTTTCCGTCTGCGATTTGGATTAGTGAGTAAGACGTGTTTATTCAGATTATTCGTTTCATGTATATCAGTTGCGGTTCGTGTTCAGTACGTGCTGAGGCTCGCAGGCCTCTCATCCAACCTCTATTGTGAGGCGACACGCAGGTCCCTTCATCTTGGGTTGTGTAGTTTGCTCTGAGTGGGTTCGTGTGTCCCTCCTCTTAATGTCTTGAGTGTACACTTTTATTTTTTTGTTTTTTTAGAATTGATGTACTTGAAAAAAATTTGGGGGTTGGATTTGCATTCTTTAACTATCAATTTCTCATTTTCTAGTTTAGCTACTTTAATTGCCTTTTTGCAAGCGTTATTGGCTTCCTTATATCTTAAATAGGATGCCTTTGATTTGTCTGATTTAAATGCTTTAAATGCCCTTTTCTTATTTTTAATCTCTTGTTTTACTTCTCTAATAAGCCACATTGGTTTTAATTTGTTTCTTTTATATTTATTACCCAATGGTACATACTGAGAAATGTACCTTTCTAATATTTGTTTGAATAGTTTCCATTTATCCTCAGTGTTTTTATCACTAAGGAGTTTATGCCAGTCGATATGTTGTAGAGCTGCCCTAATCTTATTGAAATTGGCTTTTTAAAAATTATATGTTTTAGTATACCCCACTTGCTTTTGCTTTTTTGAGTTTATTTCAAAATTTACCATATTGTGATCACTATTTCCCAAATGCTCCCCTACTTGAATGTTGGTTAAAATATCAGCATTGTTTGTTATGACAAGATCCAGACAAGCATCCTTTCTAGTTGGTGCTTGTACCAGTTGTGACATAAAGGTGTCATTTAACACATTCAAAAACCTGATGCCCCTTGATGAAGTACTAGTCCCTCTTTCCCAATTTATGTCTGGATAATTAAAATCTCCAATAATTAACGTGTTACCTCGATTTGCAGCTTTCTCAATTTGCTCTAACAGCTGTTCTTCCTCAATAATATTTACATTAGGTGGTTTATAACATATCCCAACCAATAATTGATTTCCCTTTGTTTGCCCCAAGCAGATATCTACCCATAAAGCCTCCACCTTTTCCTCGTCACACTCCACATGCCTAAGATTTGACTTTAACTCATGGTTGACATATAAACATACCCCACCACCCTTCTTGTTTTTCCTATCCTTCCTAAATAACGTGTACCCATTTAAATTAACTGCCCAGTTATGTGTCTCATCCCACCATGTTTCTGTTATGCCTATTATATCATATTGTTTAGTGTATGCTATTGCCTCTAGTTCCCCATTTTGTTATATAGGCTCCTTGCATTAGTAAGCATACATTTAATATTATCATGAGTCTTTTGTACTTTTTGTGAATTATCAATATTACATACCTCCTCTGTTCTGAGCTTTCCCCTCCCCCCCATCTACACCCCCTTTGTTCTGAGCTAAAGCCCATCTCCTTTCCATCATATCTCCATTTTCTAGATTGCTTTGACCCTCCCCCCCTACCACTAGTTTAAAATCTCCTCCAACCTTCTAGCCATCCTATCCCCAGCACAGCAGACCCTCTTCCGTTTAGGTGCAATCCATCATGACTATACATGTTGTACCCAAGCGCAAAATCGGCCCAGTGCTCTAAAAACCCAAAACCCTCCTTCCTGCAGCAAGACTTTAGCCACGCATTGACCTCTCTAATCTCCCGCTGCCTTTCTGCTGTAGCGCGCGGCACAGGTAATATTTCTGAAAAAATTACCTTGGAGGTCCTTTTCTTTAGCTTAGTTCCCAGTTCCCTGAACTCATTCTTTAGGACCTTCCATTTTCCTCAGATTTTGTCATTGGTACCAATATGGACCATGACAGCTGGGTCATCTCCAGCCCCTCCCAATAATCCCTCCACTCTGTCGGCAACATGCCGGACCCGAGCACCCGGGAGACAGCAAACTGTCCGGTTGAATCGATCAGAGTGGCAGATTACCCTATCTACTCTCTTAATAATAGAGTCCCCTACCACCACAACCTGTCTAGACTTCCTTACCCTCTCAACCCCACCCGTACTAGAGAGGCTGTTTCCATGGCTGTTAGCAGGAACAGCTTCAAGCAGTACAGCTACTCCTGAGCTGATGCTCCCAACATCTTCACTCAAACAGGCAAATCTGTTAGGCTGCATGAGATCAGGACTAGCTAAACCTTTTCTCTTCCCTCCCCCCTGCTTCCTCGCCCCACTGTCACCCAGCTACATGCCTGTTCCCCATCTGTCTTATCTGTTCCCCATCTGTCTTATCTGTATATATAGCCATGTTTACTGTTAGCAACTAAGTAGGAAAAATCTACTTACACAATGGACACTGCTGATAATTTTAATATCACATACATGATTAACATCTTGTAGACAAGAATCTATATCTATAATATTTATCCATTTAAAACCATACACACACAAATAAAATAAAAAAAACCTGGGAAGAGACCGTTACCCTTTAACCACTGGAATAATGTAATTCTCCCCCTCCCTAGAAAGCCTGACATATTTTGTGCTATTTGTATCCTTGCTCATGCGTAAGATTTTTTTTTTGTAAATATGATTTTTTTATTGTCGATAATGCAAATAAACTCAAGCATAAAGAGTTGGCAGAGAGACACGCAGGTCTCAGGCATATTTTCATATATCAATGCATCTGGTGCGACACCATATTCCTATGGGCTCGCAGACCACATTATCAGTGGGTCGCTGTTCGGCTCGCAGGCCTTCTTCGTCCCATAGCATTGTCATTACCACTGTAATTCCCCTTATCTAATACGTATTCCTGTGATCTGGGTGTTATGTACCGTTTATCAGAGTAGACAGGTTTATCTGTTTGGAAGATAGGGAACTCTGTCCCAGTATTCCCTAGGGTTTGTGTGTTTATTAGTGCTGTCCCCTTGCATGATTTGTGGCCTCCCTTCCGGGTCTCAGGACCCTGTCTTATGGTGGGTTTCTTTCTGGCCTGGAGGGATTAGTCGAAGCGACCTAGCTGTCAGTTTTGTGCTTTCCGCTCATGAGCATTGCTTTTTGATATATGTGTGCATTACTTTGGCCCCTGCGGTTCGTTAGGTCTCTCCTATTTCCTGGGGTCTCTGTCCCCTTGTCCCCGGCATCTAGTAGTGCGTGTTCATTATTGCTTTCGTCCAGTTTGCATTTTTATTGGTAGTCATCATTCGGACAGTCTGTAATGTTCTCGTGTGTGGCCTTGTCTAAATATTGTGTGTTTGCCTATTTGGGTTCCATGCTTGTGAAGTTAGTCGGAACATGTTATTATGTTTGTTTGTTCGATCCAGTATTGGTGCGGTTGACTCCTTATGTTTCAGTTCCTGTGTCGATCAGTGTGTGTCAGTGGGTGTCTGCATCTCAAGCTCAAGTTTAACGTGGAACCCTATGGTTTGATGTGTCCCTATATTTCTCGTGATGTGTTGTAGTGTTGTGTCCTACTGTGTCCGTGGTAGGTCTTCTCATTTCTGGGGAAATTTCCTTTTTTGTGCATCAATTCACCTCACGTGTCTCCTTCTAATCTACAGCGGTATCATGGGTTTCACTCTCTTTTGGGTCTTGCCCTGTGTCGTGATTGCATTTGTGTGTTGTCCCTAGTTGGGTCGGGGGGGGGGGAGGATGACAGGTTGGGTTAAGTGGCATGGGGGGGGCAGTAGGGGGTGTGATTGTGGAGCTGAGGTGCATGGGTCACCCTCCCGGTGCGCCCGGGTAACCCACCCCCCCTCCTCTCTGCAGATTCTGCTGTGTGTCCAACTGCGCATCGTCGCCTACACTATGTATAGTAGCCAGGGTCTCCAGATCTCTGTGTGCCGGTCTCCTCTTCCCAACAGGTCTGCTATTTTGGCTTCAGCTGTTCGTATTTCTTCCACTTTGCGTTTCCATTGTTCCGTTGTGGGTGGGTCCTCTTTCTTCCAGTGTAGTGGAATTAGGGATTTAGCTGCGTTCAGCAGATGTCTCATGATCATTTTATTGTAGGTAGACAGGGCTTGCTCCGAGTGATGTATGAGGGCTGCTTCCATTGTCAGGTGTGGGGGGTCATCCAGTATGTTTTTTATTTCATGTTCGATGTTCCCCCAATATGGCTTAATTTTCTTGCAGTCCCACCAGATGTGCCGCAGTGATCCAGTGCCCTCGTTGCATCTCCAGCAGGTGTTCGGGATAGTCGGGATGTATCGGCTGAGTAAGGATGGTGTGCGATACCAGTGCACCAGCAACTTGTAGTTTACCTCCTGGAAGTGGGAGCTAGATGAGCTCTTGTGTTGCAGTATCAAGATTTTTTCCCACTGGTCGTCCAGGAAGGATTTGGCTGTCCATTCCTCCCATTGGCGTTTGTACAAGTTGTTTTTTTTATCGATTTCCTGTTATTAGGGTTTGGTATATCGCTGAGACTCTCCCGTCTGCCTCTGGTGCTTGCGAGCATTGCGTCTCGTACCATGTGAGGTCCCTGTGAATTTTAGTCCTGTGTGGTAGGTTATAATAGTAGTGTTTCAATTGGGCGTAATGGAATTGGTGCATGAGCATGGGAGGTCTTCCGTCTGCTATTTCCTTTAGCGGTTTCACTCCCGTATTATTGAGCACAGTGTGTATGGGTATGTATCCGTCTTGGCTGTCTAACGGCCAGGCGGACGGTGCGAGTCCATCTCCCAGGTGTGGGTTATAGGTTATGGGAATCAGCGGGCTCGGCTTGGGTGAAATCTGTCGTTCGTTCCTCAGTATGGTCCAGTGTTTTAGTGTCTGTGTAACAGGGGAGTCCTCTCCAAGTGTTGTCTGTGCTTCCGTTTATTTGTGCCACATCAGCGTGTACAGTCGTTTGTCTGTGGTGTCTCTCCATAGTGTCACCCAGTGTTTGTGGGGTGAGGCTACATGTAGCTCCCTCAGTCTCTGTAGTACCGTGGCTTGGTGGTATCATTTAATGTCCGGTAGCGCTAGTCCTCCCCATCGTCTTGGGAGGCAGAGTTTTTCGTAGCTAATTCGTGCCCTGTCCCCTTTCCATACGTATTGTATGAGCGCTGTCTTAAGTGTCGCGAAAAACGCTTGCGGTACCGTTTTTGGCGCTGTGTGGAAGAGGTATAGGATCCTGGGTAGGACATTCATCTTAATTACTGCTGTCCTCCCCAGCCATGATATGTGCGCATAGTTCCATCTCTTGAGGTCTTTAAGGATGGTGGTCAGAAGGGGTGTGTAATTATGTGCGTAGATGTCTTTTACTTCATGTGTGATCCATAGCCCAAGGTATCTCATACGTTCGTGGCACCAGTGGAACGGGAATCGTCGTCTCAGTTGTGTGCATTCAGTCTCGGGTACGGTGACGTTAAGAATGTCACACTTCGTTAGGTTGAGTTTTAGTCCTGAGAGGCGCCCATAGTTTTCGAATTCGGTCAGTAGCTATGGTATGGAGTCTGCTGGGTTCTTGAGGAAAAACAACATATCATCCACGTAGGCGGCGACTTTATGTTCGTGTGATTTGTAGCTTAGCCCTGTTATCCTCTAGTTTTTCCGAATGCGATCCAGGAGCGGCTCCAGGGTGAGGGCAAATATGAGCGGGGAGAGCGGGCATCCCTGCCTTGTGCCGTTCCGGATGTCTAAAACTATCCGTAAGGGCCCCATTCACTCTGACTCTGGCGTTCGGTTGACTGTAAAGCGCGATGATCCATGCGAGCATACCACGTCCCATGCCCGTCGTGCGTAATGTCTCCGTCATGAAGTTCCAGTCTACTCTGTCGAAGGCTTTCTCAGCGTCTGTGGAAAGCAAGAGTAGTTTCGTCTTCGTTTGTTTGGCTAAGTGTTGTACTGCGAATAATCTGAGGGTGCAGTCCCTGGCCTCGCTTCCCGGTATAAAGCATGTCTGGTCTGGGTGTATTAGTCTCGTCACTAGCACCTTGGAGAAAAGTTTTATGCCGGTGTTAAGGAGTGATATTGGGTGGTAATTTCCAACTTGCTCCGTGTTTTTACCCGATTTAGGGATGACCGTGATGGTTGCAGCAAGGTTTCCCTGCTGAACGTGTTTCCTTCACGTATGCTATTTATCGCCTTAGTTAGGTGGGGTATAAGAATGGTTCCGAATTTCTTGAGGTATTCTATCGGGAAGCCATCCGGTCCTGGTTCTTTTCTGGTTTTTGCTACTTTCAGTGCATGTCTAATTTCCTCTTCGGTGATAGGTGCATCGAGTTCTTCTGCTTCCTCCGGTGTGAGGGCGTCCGGTTGAAAGCCCCCTAGGTAGTCTGTCGTGTCTGTCTTCCTCGCGATTTGGGATATTCCGTCTTCATTTCCACGTGTATTGTATAACTGTGTGTAGAACCGTTGGAATTCACTCGCAATGTCTTCTGGAAACTGAGTTGTTGTGCCTTGGGTGGTGCGCCCTGCACTCCTCACAGCATCCGTGCTAGTAGTTTAACCCCCTTGTTGGCATGCATGTAGAAGAATGCATGTGATCTTTGGAGGGTTCTGGCGTGTTTGCGTTCAATACGTTCTGAGAGTAGCCGTCTGTTCGTTATTAGGTCCCTGTAAGTCTGGTCTTGTTGGTCGCATTTGTGGGCCATTTCCAGGTCAGATATCTTCTGTGTTAGGTCAGCTATCTGTTGTCCGGTTTCCTTTTTCCATCGAGTAGCCATGCAAATTAGGTGACTTCTGATGACACTTTTGTGTGCCTCCCAGATCGTCATATCCGAAACCCCCTTGGTGGTGTTGTCTGCGAAGTATTGGTTTAAGTGTTCTGTGAGTTGAGTCCTAAGTAGCGTGTCCATCAGGAGCGAGTCATTGAGCCTCTATGTGGTTCTGGTTGGTCGAAACATGGGCGACGACATAGTTACCTGTGCCGCACTGTGATCTGACCATGGTGTGGATGTCTGCTCGCTGCAGGTACGTGAGGCCCTCTTGCTGGATGAATATGTAGTCTATTCGGGAATATCTGTTGTGCAGCGTGGAGTAGTATGTATAGTCCCGATCGTCTGGGTGTAGTGCCCTCCACATGTCCACCAGCCATAGGTCCCTGAGGGCTTTGTGTACCGTCCTAATCGCCGAGTGAGGTATACTGCTTCGTCCCGTGGAGGTGTCTATGAGGGGGTCTAGAGGAATGTTTTTGATTTCACTGCCGAATATGAGGATCCCATCTGTGAACCGTGACAGCTTCGTCAGTGTTCGCCTGAGGAAGCTAGCTTGTCCGGTGTTGGACGTATATATCGTGGCGATCGTGTACGTTTTTTGAGCTATTTCTCCCTTAATGAAGAGGTACCTACCCCCTTTGTCAATCATTTTGTCCGTAAGGACAAATTGCAGGTGTGCGGCTAGGAGAATCGCAATTCCTGCCTTGCGAGACGTCGGGTGGTTGCTATAGTAGTTTATGGGGTAGCTCTTGTCCTTGAGTAATATGTTTGATTCCATTCTGAGGTGAGTTTCCTGTAAGAGGGCAACGGAGACGTGTTGCCTCTTGAGGCTTCGTAGTAGGTGAGATCTCTTTTCTGAGGTGTTGAGGCCTCTGCAGTTTTGCGACCTGATCACTAGGGGTGCCGGGGTATACGCCATGTGTGGTCTCTTGGGGCCCATGTAGGGAGCCGGCAGTCACGGTTGATCTTCAGTCTGATGAGTCAGGCGTAGTTTGCAGTGGCCCGGGTGCGCCCCAGCGGGCTACCGCTTAGTCAGGTGAAGGACAGGAAGGGCGTTTGAGGGGGCAGGACAAATGTGGTGTGGTAGGCATCAGTAGTGTACCCGAATGTGAGGTGCTCAAGTGTTTGGTGCATTGTCGTCTCCTCTGAGAGTGTCAGTGATTAAGCGTCACCTCTGCTCTTAGCCTTGTGTAATTCCTACATGGCGTGTTAAGGTGTTGGGTAATATGTCATACCCCAGTATGGGGTAACTCCGTGTAACTGGACCAGTTTACTTTCCCGGCTGGGCGTCAGCAGTGGCTCCCCCAGTAGGTTAGTCTACACGGGTATTGGTTCAGGTAGTGGCCTGGGGCCTGATGGAGTGTGCTGCTACCGCAGTGTTCGGGTGAGTGATGTGTGGTTTAACCACACGTGTCAGGAGAATCATCGTCCCCACTGTGATAGTCTCAAATGAAGTGCACTTCGCTCTAGTATATGATTGGCTAATGCTTATCCCTGTCAATGGGTCAGTTAGATGGTGTTCCCAGTGTGTCTGGTGGCTTTCTTGTCCCACGGTCAGCATCGCAGGGGGGCGTCAGTACCTGCGGGGTCTGTCATTCGTCGTGGTTAAGGCTTTCGCTGGGTGCATGGCGTAGCACCAGTGTGTGTCATAGTTGGTATGGAGGTGTCTCTAACTATGGTCTGGGGTGGTCATGTGGGGGTCGCAAAATGACTCTTGGTGGTCTGGCTTGTGGTGTGGAGAATCTCGTGTCCCTTGAGGGTTTCCTTCCCAATTCTCTAAACTTAATCAGAGCTTCCTTTGTGTCTCTTCATGTCGCTCTAATGGGGTTGTCAGTCTACCATGTGGGGGTCTCATGAATAGCCTACTGTGCAACAGACTTTGGCATATTCACTAAACATTAACCTCTTATTTACACCCCGTACCCTACATGCAGTACCCCTCCCTCCTCCCTACACTCCCCCCCTTCCCTCCCTTTATTCCTGTTTCTACACCCGTGTCGTTTCCTATTGCTGCAGCATCAGTGGCTCTAAGCATGTCTGACTTGTTGGGCCTGTGCCCCACGTGAAGAGTGCTGATTGGCGCCCTTTTAATTATTTATTTTTTATTTTTTTGGCTATATGTTTTAAAAAGTATATATCCTAACTCCCCTTCCAATTAGCCCTTCCAATGCCTGTCCCGAGCTGTCCCTCCATTTCCTCCTTCCCCCCCCCATATTCCCGTCGCCTCCTCTGGTCCTTGGTCCCAATCTTCTCGCCCTTACTTCTGCCCCTGCATCCGCAGAAAGCGTCACCCACACCATTATAGCTGACACATGTAAGTTTTATGGCCTTCCCACCCTCCACCGCCCGACCTGTGTCCCCATGTTTGTTGTTGGTGTCCCTTAGACATCAGTCTATGCATAGAGTCCATGTTCATGGGTTCCAGTGATCATTGCTCTCGTTCTCTCAGTCCAGATGGTTTACCTGGGGTATTGCGGATGTTTCCCCACTCCTCCCACCGTTTCCCTCCCACCCCAACTTGTGATCTTGCCTGGGGGGTTCCCATAGGTGTGAGTCAGTAGCTGTGATCCCTTTCAAATTACTGTCCATATTGTCCCCTTCATTGCTGCCTATGAGTGATGGGTCTTCAACTGTCAGTCCCTGAGAAAATAGGGCGTGTGCTCGGTGCCTCGTTCTGTGGGTAGTCTGGTTAGGCAGTGTATAGTGGGGTGTATGTCATAGTCCACAGTCATGTCAGAGTCTAGGTGTTGTTTGTACTTATCTGAAATGTCCGTCGGTAATCTTCCGCAGGTCTTCTGTCCTCCCCGCTGTGCAGTTGTCTGCTATGTCGGGGTTACCGTCACCGGTTATGGAAGGTGTTAGTCTCTGGGCTGTGCTGGGTTTTGGTGTCTGGGTGCTGGTTGCCTGTGCGGCGAGTCTTCTCTGCGCCGCCTTGGAGCTCTCTGAGCTGGTTGGTTAGGCCTCTGTTCCAGTGGGCCCAGGATCCAGTCAGTGACCTCTGTGTGGGGTAGGCCCATGCCTTGAAGGAAAGCCAGTACTTCATCAGGCCAACGTAGGGGTAGCCACTCATTGTTATGTCTGGCGAACAGGCAAAAGGGAAAGCCCCACTTATAGGGTATGTTGCGGCTTTGTAGCAGTTGAGTCACCGGCCTTAGCGCTCTGCGGCCTCGAGTGTGAGGGGAGAGAGATCTTGGTATAAGGCTACCTCTGCTCCCTGGAACCGCCATGTTGGTTTCGTTCTGGCTTTGTTCATGATCAGCTCCTTAACCTTATATTCATGGAGGCAGCAGATGATATCTCTGGGTGCGTTGTCTGTGGTGCGCGGCCTCAGGGCCCTGTGTGCTCGGTCAAAATCTATGCGCTGAGGTGAATCCGGGCCCAGTATGTCCCTGAACAGGGCGGTTAACGTAGCCGTGACATCCTCTTCCCCTGCTGATTCTGGTAGGTTGCGGATTCTAATATTCGACCTGTGACTCCGGTTATCTAGGTTCTCGGTCTGTCTTCTCAATTGTAGGAGCATATTGCCCTGCCTGGCTACCGCCGCATCAGTGGCATCTAGTCTGCTTACTGATGTGAGGTGCGTGGCTTCTAGGTTCTGTATGTGTCCAACCTGTGCCGCTATGTCCCTCTGGAATGTAGCCACTTCCGACCTGATCGCCTCATGTAGAGTGGCGGACAGCGAGGGTTCCAGTGTGTCGGGCGGCAGCGATGGGGCGTGGTCGTCGGCCATTTTGTGGCCTGATGTTGCACGTGGCTGTCTGCCTGGACTGCGGAGGTAACCGTCTAGCGGTCCGGTTTGCGGTGCACCCTGCGTTCCCTTAGTTGTTTGGTGGGAGTCAGACCTCTTGGTACGACCCATCGGATAGGTTTTTGTGCGGATTGTGCTCTAATGTTAGCTACGTGGGACGGAGCTCCTTGGTTAGGCTGCCATCTCCGTTGGCGTTCAGGCCACGCCTCCCTCTAAGATTGCATTCTTAACATCATTGTTTGACTTTTCGTGAGCACTATTGTGGTGTTTTTCATGTACAGCACAGGCTAGTAATAAAAACTACAAAACTCCTGCCACACAGACTGACTTATAAGTGCTGCCATCTTCAGGAAAATCTAATTACTACACCTACCTAGAAAATGCTACTGTTATTGCATTTTGTTGAATATAAGATACATAGAATGTGACGACAGATAAGAACCATTCAGCCCATCTAGTCTGCCCAATTTTGTAAATACTTTCATTAGTCCCTGGCCTTATCTTATAGTTAGGAAAGCCTTATGCCTGTCCTACACATGCTTAAACTCCTTTACTGTGTTAACCTCTACCACTTTAGCTGGAAGGCTATTCCATGCATCCACTACCCTCTCAGTACTGTAATACTTCCTGATATTATTTTTAAACCTTTGCCCCTCTAATTTAACACTATGTCCTCATGTTGTGGTAGTTTTTCTTCCACAAAAGATATGCCCATGCATTTTAACTAGAAATTAAGAAAAAAATAAAAAATTCACTTTTGTGTCTCACCCTTCTTGGGTATCTATTGCAACTCCCTCCTGTTGCAGCGTGGCCTTGTGGACTGCGGAACAGGATCTACTTCATCCTCTACCAATCTGACAGGAACCTGCTCCCTGAGTGCAGTCTACCAGATTTCTGTCAGATCTGGTAGAAGATAAAGAGTATACTCTACTACGGTCTGCAAGGCCAGACCACATGAAGCAATTCTCAGGGAGATGCAAGCTTTGTGTGACCTACTCCTGCTTGTGAAACTTGGAAAATAAAACGCAAGATGTTTTTTACCCCATATTTTGGGGTTAAAAACTGCATCCTATATTCTGAAAAATACTGTACATTTTGCCTGAATTACTTAATCTAGTATTATGGGTTGATAATCCAAGAACATTAAGACGGCAGTAGAATCTTAACTAACTAGTTTCCTTGATGCAACGCACCCTAAAGTTTTAGAACTCTAAAGCATTTTGAATACATGAATCTCAACCATTCAGATTCTTTTGCATATATTGTGTGATTTATAAACAAAATCTAGTTTACATTAAAGACATATATTATAAGTCCTCCCTCAGTGCTAGGCATTGTCCATTCAGAGGCTTCTCTATGAGAAGACTTGTGGACAAATTGTGCATGCATGCAACTGGCCAAACATACATCTGTATTACAGCTCACTGAGAAATGCACAAAGTAAAGTGTCAATGTCAGCAAAGCCCTTCCCTTCTATTTTGTACTATAATTAAACCCAACTCACTACTATTTAGTGGTTGAAAAATGTTAATACCCTTGCTGACTGCTGTTTGACCAGCAGCTATTTTGAAATATTATACTTAAAAAAAAAAAAAAATCACACCATATACACATTTAATGCAAATTGAGGGCTACTCAATGAACTGGCAGTTGTGGATAATTGACAAGAGATTTACAAATTTCAATAGTTTTGAAAAACACATGGAAACATATGCCAGCTTGGCTATTATGGTCACAGTTGTGCACATCACTTGTCAGTTCTCTACAACTCCTGGTTTCCATAAGCCGCCTTCTGCAGACGTGAAATCTTAAGCGTATTTATTCACTTATTTGGAAATTCAGCTGTATATTAGAATGGTAGAACATCACATGGTTGCTGAACCTGCTGCCTACCTTCCCTACAATATACTATGATCCAGTGCTTTATTAGAAAAATACATAATTTCTGAATTATCTTCGGAGACATCTTCAGCTATTCTAGTCCTCTCATTTAATTAAAGGGACACGGTAAGCACTGTCATCTCATTAAACTGGTTATAGTGTCTGGAGTCCTCTAGTGCCACCCATTCATTCAGTGTTAAACAGTTCCTAATATTTGTATGTTTTATTGCTACAAGAGAGTCGCCAGCGGCTCATACCCTCAGTGCTGCTTGGCTATTGAGAAAGTAGTAGTCTGAGAAGCAATATGCAGCTGTCATTGGCTGAGAGTGTTGTCAAATGACTGCTTTTAGCCTATCAGAGCGCCCATTGCCAGTATGAATGAGTATGACTATAAGGAAGTGTGCAATTTCTGCCTTAGCCATATCTCCACTAAGGGCTGGGCTGTGGCTGGCCAGAACCCTTATTTAGCGTTAAAGACACTCCACTGCCCAAATAAAAAACAACTATAAATGACTGTTTAGTAGATATATCACAAATTAATTGTTGAATGCACTTAATTATGCATCTTGTCATTGGAGTTATATCTAAAAACAGATTGCAAACCTCATGCTATTGTCTGCTGCCTTTGCAGACTTACATAGAAACATAGAATGTGAAGGCAGATAAGAACCATTCGGCCCATCTAGTCCCTGGCCTTATCTTATAGCTAGGATAGCCTTATGCCTATCCAACACATGCTTAAACTCCCTCACTGTGTAAATCTCATCCACTTCAGCTAGAAGGCTATTCCAAGTAATACTTCCTGATATTATTCTGAAACCTTTGCCCCTCTCATTTCAATTTTGTGACTGTCCAATCACAGACTTCCCAATGCAGAAGTCTTTGTAAGGCAGGTCTGGGAATTGCTGACTCTTCGGTTCAGTGCAACTAAGCTAACCGAACCCTGGTTTCTAGTACAGCTATTTTGGGATTAGATTACAATTCCAAGTTAAATTCCCATGAATAATCTTGATGGGTTTTTTTTTTTTTGCTTACATTTTTAAGCAAATTGGGAAAAAATCGTGTCTCATCTAAAATGATCCCAAATAACTCTGAAATAGCTTGGCAATGGAAACAGCTAGGTCAGGAATGAAAAAACAAAACAAAACAAAACTCACATTTGGTCTGGTTAAGGCTTTATTTAAATGTTACAGACTGTATTGATGTAGTCCTTTAAATTTGTTTCCTGTCATGCACTGACAATTAATGCTCTCAAATTCTAAACTGACACCGCATTCTGCTATGTTATGCCAATCTCTCTTTTGTTGGAATTGTGTAAGGAAATCTGATCTGCAGAACACATTCAACAGATTAAACGAATACAGAATAACACGCAATGTTTAAATAAAGAATGAGGAAGAAGCTTTCAATGACTGATTTTGACTTATTATTCGGAGCATGGCAAGTAATGTGGATATTCTCATTGAACTGGTATTATTGATACAACTGATCGGCCACAACATTGAAACCACCTGCCCAATATCATGTAGGTTCCCGGTTGGCCTACCTTGTGCCACTTATAAGTACCAACCATTGCATACCAGTAATACCCCACGGGACAAACTCACAGAATTTTATATTCCTTAAATGTAATATGCCTGACTTAGTGACTTAGGCAGAAATAATGGTAATTTAAATACAGTATATGACCATACATTGCATAAGGCTCCCATAATGCCAATGTACTCCATTTTTGATAGATGCTTTCCTAGCTTTGAAGTTGCTGTTTAGTGAGTGACTGAGTACACTGGATTTTGTATGTTGTATTAATTGGCCCCAGCAGGACCCCTATAATGTATGCAAGATCCTCTTAGGGATATACATTATTTATTTTCATTTGGTCCTGAGGAAAGTCCTTTGTATTATGGAACAGTAAATAAGATATATTGTATATAAAGAAACCGTGAGTACAGTCACATTTTTGCACATTTTATCTATTTGATGCCATAGACTAGCACCTAGGAAATTGACCGCTTACCAAAGCAAGAGTGCAAGGATTCTACCACTCTCTCCCTCTCTCTCTCTCTCTCTCTCTCTCTCTCTCTCTCTCTCTCTCTCTCTCTCTCTCTCTCTCTCTCTCTCTCTCTCTATATATATATATATAAATTTATTGATTGATTGATTTTTTTAAAATTTCTTTTTTTATCAAGGTGTTATTTATGAGTGCATATTTTATTATTGCACAAAAATATTTCACGTTTTGTAAATCCAAAAATACTCCTTGATGACCCTAACGCAGGATCGATTCAATTCAGTTTTTGGCAGCTTCAGAAATGCAACCATTTATTTCCATCCACATTATGTACAAATGCTTCAAATTAATAAAAATAACACAGGCTATTGCTACACCTATAATTTCTTGGTCTGGTTTGTCTTCAATAAGGTTTTTCAATGTAAATGATCTAAATTACATTGTTGTCAATAACTACTTAAAGGGGCACTACAAGAAACACTACAGCTCAGTGTGCCTGTGCACATAACATGTCCCTGCATCATTGTATCACTAATGTTGGAGTGTTTTTTTTTAAAATAACTTACAAGGCAGACACTATACTAACTACAAATACTGTTTCAATGTTATACGGCCACTGGCCGGCAGGCAGAAGAGGTCTGGCACAGCTGCTGGGAAGAGGAAAGATGTCCCCCCACCAGTCAGCCCATTCTCCTCCCTTAGTGCCAAAGTCAATGGGGAATATCTCATTAGCCTGCCCCTGCAGTGCTGGCACTCAAGTAGAGAGGGGGGCTCCATGGCCAGTGGGGAGATCAAAGACTACTTACACACACAACACCATAAGCAGTCTACACACACACACCCTTCCCCAACCCTGCCCCATTTATCATCCAAGAACCCACACAGTCACGTTTAATCATACCCCAAACTAGTCACATTAATGTTTAATCGAATACCCCAAAGATTTTGCATATGTATATAATTATATATAAATATTCCTGCCCTTGGCGCAGCAGGGAGGTAAAGCTGGCCAGACTACATTGCCCGATTCTCAACTATGGTACTGAAAAGACTAGTAGCAATAGCTAAACGAATATGAGGTGTACAATAAGACCACAATTAAAAGAACCGTGTAAGCACTTTACTTGCATTAGTGTAAAGTTGATGTTGCAGAGAGTACCATATACCCACTCTCATAAATGTAAGTGACCTGTAACTGCAATGGGTTTACAGCCTCTCA